GGGCTTCTCGCTGTGGTTGCCAGCAATCTACTGTTTTTTTACAGTCTATTTCCGTAGTGTAAATTAACAGTATATTACTGTTAAAATACATTTTACACTGTGTTTTTACCTCTCACACCTTTAACCCTTTAAACCCCAGAGCATATACTTCAGTTTTTATTGAAGTGTCCACACTACTGAGTGTTCAAGAAACATGTAGCAAAGCTGAAGTAAATTCATTAATTAACTGACTAATTAAATGATAATTGAGGATTAACAATGAACAAATGAAGAAATACTGAAGGGAAAAAACAAGAACAGAACATACAAAACTTTAGTCACAGCTTTATAATGAAATAACCTGAAGAACAACAAATGATTAAATCATTTAAATGATCAGCGGATGATTAAACAACTCTACAAACATCATCACCAGCTACACTTATTACTTAATACATGTATTTTTGTATAACATCTACTAAAGTTCTTCTTGAGAAAAAGTTAAAGTTTTACGTCACCATCATGGAGAACAGAGTTTGCTTTAGTTGGGCTCTTAGCCCTGTCATTTTTAACATTTATATGTCTTGGCTGCTGCAGTTGTTAAGAACTTTGTTTAAAAAGCTCTTTTGTTGTGGCAAGCCAGCCAAAAACCTAAATAAGATCTGGTGATGTTCATGTTGCTATTAAATGGCAGAGTCTGTTCTCATTTAGTATAATAAAATTTACTGCTCCTATTCAATGTTAAATCTATTGTTTTACATTATATGTATGTATATATATATATATATATATGGCAATGATTTCTGGAAGTTTTTAAGAATATCTTGGACAATAACACTGCTCTATGGTGTAAATCGCACTCAAAGAGACATCAATAATCAGCATATGAACCTCAATAATGGTGACAACTAACAAAATTAACAGTTTAACTCACAAACAGGCAACTGAAAGTCTAAACATAAACAACAGCAGAATAAAACACAAATAAAGAAAACCGTTAGACCATTATACAAAATTTATTTATACCGCAATGCATGCTGGGATATTTGTACCGTGCCACTCCCAGCATGCATTGCAGCATGAAACATTTTAATTGTTACCATTGTTGAGATACAAGGTCAGATTCATCAGGTCTGAGTGTGTATTTGTCATAACTGAACTGTTTTTGTATGTTATTTCTTAACTGTTAAGTAATTACGGAGGTATCTTTTCTGTTACCACTTCTCATTAATTAAATTAATACCTGCAACTAAGCATAACATCTATTGCATGAGGCCCTTCTTCCAGACTTATAACTAAACATTTATCAGAAATAATTTCAGACAAATAGATTTCTCTATTTATTGACTTCCCAACTTTATTGCTATAGTACAAACATTTTTTAAACTCTGTATTACAGCAGTTGGAAAGTTTTATTAAAAGAGTTCAAGGGTGAAGAACCCAACTAAACCAGCCCCTCACTCCATTACGGTGACACAAAAAACACCTTAATTTCTGTTGGATCTCAATGAGAATAGTATGGAAGTCAAATCAGTCAGTAATAAGTGTGTGTCTGCTGTTGTTTGTGGAGTTGTTTAATGATCCTCTGCTGAGACTGAAGGTGTTTTATTTTATTTAATGTTGTAACTCAAGTCACTGTTTGTGTTTTTTGTTTCTTTTCTTCAGTGATTGTGATTATTAACAGCAGGTGTTCATCAGTGTCTGAATTCACTCATTAGTGTTCATTAACTCTGTCAGGTGAACTATATTAGTTAATTAGTGTATGAAATAGTGAACAAGGACACAAAGCGTGATTTCAAACACAGACTTCAAAACATCGAATCTGAACTCTGTTAGCTCACAGTTTTCTGCAGTTGGTTACTTTCTCGAAAACAAAAATGTTACCCAGAAAGCACTGTTTTTAACAGAATATTACTGTTTTAGTGAAAAAACATTATTTTACCGTAGAATCTGACCGTTTTTTAACAGCAATTTTTTACAGTGTGGGTTCATGTTCTGCAGTGCCTGACCAGTCTGCTGGAACAGATACTGCACTCCAATGAGCTCACCTGAAAAAAATAAATGAAACATAAATAAACAAACTTTAAGAGCCATGTTTGATTGGGTGTTGAAGTAGCAAGTAGTTTTAAAAGCTCAACGTCAAGGAAGAAACAAACAAAAACATACATTTTAATCAGAGATCCAAAACATAATAAATATTCTGGACAAAACATCTAATGAAATGCAATGGAAATACAACGAACACAGAGAAATGTTCAAATAAATTTCCCTCAAAGCTTGTAGCATTATGTTTGATAATGACATGTAATAATAATGTAATAACAATTTTGTATCTTGCTTTACTTCAGTAAATAGTCATGAAACAATAAATTTGTTCTTACAAATATTTAAAGACAAGTAAAGATTTCACAGCACAAAGCTCATGAACATTGACCTACTGTATCAAACTGGATACAGTAGATGGAGAGAACACAGAAATTGCAGGTTTATTAACAATAGCAACAAACAACAAACAAACACACAAAGACATTTAATGCGTTTTTACACAATGTTTGTGCAAAATTATACCTGGGATGAAACGATTGAGGTGTAAATGAAAGGATTCGAGAGACGTGGAGCCCCTGGCACATCTGTAGGTCCGTAGCAGAACACCTCCCTTGGTAATGCTCCCCGTTTCAGTATAGAGCACGACACCAGGGGGGTCCTGAATGCATTTTATATGCTTTTTTGGACACTCCAGATGTGCCCCATCCTTTCCTTTTCTAAAAGAGGAACGCCCAGCGAGTCATTGCCCTTGTTGCTCATGAGCTCAGTAAGAAGCTGTTCAAGTAGAGGACTTTGACCCTCCACAGCTTGTATGGCATCCACAGCAAAAGTGAATGACAGAAAAATCTGTCTGGAGCTGGAGCCTGATTGTATGTAAGTGCAGGCTGTGGAGGGTAATACCAGAGCTGGAGGTTGTCTCGAAGCTCTGGCTTTCCTTTGGACCCTATTTTAAAAAGCCTGCTGGCAATCCACTTGTGGTCCTCTGGTGGCAAGGTTTCAGCCCAAAGGCGCGGGAGTGGAACAGCTGATGGAGCTTGCAACAATAACCCAGAAGGTGCAGTCTGTGAAGGAAAATAGATCAAACCTTTAGTCTGGTAATGTAAATGCACCTTACATATTTGAGAGAGTACCCTTACATGATGTTATCATGATTATAATCTAAATACCTTTGATTTTAAGTGATTGTTTTTAAATACCTTAATATGTATTTCAATTCCAAAAATCATTAATAGAATTTCACCAATAAACATTTTCTTTAAAGAAGCAAAAGTATTTTCCAATATAGTTATTTCTCTTTTTCCTCTCTACTTCTTTTCCATCCATTTTCTTTTTCTTTTACTACTGTGAACATAAAATATCAACAACAGAAGGCGTAATTTTTGTGATTCTTTGCTTTATTTTTTCCTCTCTTTATTTTGTTAACATTTATACATATATCAAGCTTAGTTAATTAACATCAAGTCAATTTAATTGGCTGGTCTTAAAACCACTTTGTGTAAATTCAGCTGGGGCAGCAAATATGCAAACCAAATTACCTTTTTTTTGGACAGAAAATATGAAATTACTTACTGAGACAATGCCGGACGGCTCTGTGGAACTGGTCACTGCCGTAGTGGATGTGAGGACGGGGGCAGAAACTTGAAGGTCCTGTGTCTGTACAAACAAGCAGTATAACAAAGTGCATTTTGTAAATATATATCTATAAGTAACATTAACTAATCCGAATTTTTTGCAATCATTACTTTATTTGAACATTAATGTATAAAATACATTGGAAATGAATGATTGCTGCTAAACTGTAAAATTTTGTCACAGCGCTTCTATGCAGAACAAAAAGTTTAAAGAATGGTGCTTATTTTTAATATATATGTTTTTATGCACTAAAAGAATACTACAGAGATGTTTTATTGAGATTTAATGTGACTGTACTTAATAAAAATACGAATTTACGTAAAACAAATGCTTATACCAAATTCTCTCAGAAAGCTATGTGGATTATGACAATACTTACAGCCGTGCTTGGTGTAGAAGCACTACACACTGCTGAACTGGGCTGGACGTCAACCTGTGATGGTCTTCTAGCCACACTAAGATTTGGCTTTGCTGCAGCAATGTGGGATCCGGAAAATCTTGGTTTGGTGAACTCAAAAAGGGCAAGACAAAAAGCATTTCATTAAAAACACTGTGTTCACAATGGCAAAATGTACACTAATGTTCAAAGGTTTGCGATCTGCTCAATGTATTTTTTTAATGTTTTAATTATGTTTATCAAGGCTACATTTATTTGATCTAATATTTAGTAAAAACTGGAATAATGTGAAATAATAATATAGGCAAATTAAATAAAGAATAATTTATTCAAACAATTCAAATCAAATAAAATCTACTTAATTTATGAGCAAATCAAACACAATAGAATTCTTGCAAAATATGAGTAATATTAAGCTTTTATATTTTAACAATAATAATTTTTTGAACATTAGTGTATATCACATTAAATTTCAAGCAATTAGAAACTATCTTTCTATATGTCAGTTATACAATCAGTTTGATTTCTCTACAGTGTTTCGAGTTCAAGCTGTTTTTTACTACCACACTCACAGAAATATTTCATCCAAAAATTAAGATTTATGTAATTTTATTACATGACAAATTACCATTTATATTTTTTTCATAATTTTAACACAAATCTACCAAATAAACTTTATACTATTTATTTTCATAAGGATAATAAAACCTATTTATTTTAAATGCATAATCCTCAGGTTTACGTAATTAGTTCATGTAAAGTGTAATTATTCTAAATTAATAATAAAAAGTGTATTTATTTAAAATACACAAAGTTTATTGTATAAATTGCATAATAATTAAGAGAACTAAATCGGGGTAACTAAAAAATATAAATAACATTTATTTGAATCATGTTTAATGTATGCTTATATACTAAACCAAATCAAAAAATGCATCACATTGAATTAGACCAACTGGAAAATTCCAGATTTATTTATATTTATCTTTTATACAAAACTCTGGATTGAGCCAAGTTAACATCAGCCAACATTTAGGAAACCATCCATATGAACCCACTTACACAGCCACACTCGAACATCACATGACTGCTTGGACACCCAAAAAAATAAATAAATAAAAAATAAAACTGTACTCAGAGATCCATTTTCAGTTGCTAATTAACATATCATTATAGAACTAGGAAATCATTTTAACATATCTCAGGGTTGGAGCACAATGTGAAAAAAAATGGGTAGGGGCTGTATAAGTTGTTATTTTTAGCCACTGGAGCAATTTCAGTTTCAGTGTCTGTACTTTCGGGGAAAGCTTGGTTGAGTCCAGGTCCATCAGGATTTTCTGGTACACCTCAAATGTACACTTCAGGCTTTTAGGGTAGTTCAAATTGAGCGCGTAGATCAGGCCATATAACATAACCCATGCATGAGTGACACTCTACAGGTTGTGGAGAACCTCCACACCTTCCAGCACAACACGGACATCAGTGAAGCGTCCATCACCTTGACCATGATCCTTTGATTGTACTTTGTAGATGCCCATGGTCTTTTCTGCCATGTCTTCCTCTGCCTCTCTGGATTCAATGTCCTGGAATGTATAAACACACACTTATGATATTACACACACACACGCATGCACGCACACATACGTACATCTTTTCATCAAAGCAGACAGCATATATGCATTCATGAGAACGGAATGGATGCAAGTTCAGGATAATGACCTTAAGACCTGATCACCCCCTTAAAGCCTGGAAAAATAAAAGTCACAAGGCTGTGGATAATAAGTTAACAACAACACAATGCATTTTTATCTCCAGTTGTGCAATTTCCTATTAATGTAACAACAACAATATAATATCTGAAAATTATACAAGTATTATTCTTGTTCTCACTTGATTATGGGTCAACCCTTCACTTGGGGTGAGGTTTTCTATTTTAGAACGGAGGGATTTCCGGGGAGACTGCAGAGATTTTTCTTCCAATGAAGCCATTAACCTGCCACAAAAAAATGCAGTTAAAAAAAGTTAACTAAAAATGGAGACGCTTCTCATGAATGCTGTGCACCTTTCTGCCAATGTAACAATTTATAATCTGACAATCAAGTCAGGATGAGTGTAGTATGTCCATCAAGCCTGAAACTTAAAGGGATAGTTCACCCAAAAATAAAATTTTTACTCACCCTCGTGTTGTTTCAAATCCATATCAGCTCCGTTTATCTTCAGAACACAAATTAAGATATTTTGGATCTGATCCACCACTGAAAGTGCACATTCAAATTACACAAACCTACTAAAAACATAGTTAATGTAGTCCATGTGACATGGGTCACTCAATTTTAACATGATAAAGCAACAAGAATACTTTTTGGCTGAAGAAATTATAAAAATAAAGACTTTATGTTTGTGGACTTTAAATGTGCATTTTCAGTGATGTCTATGGGAGGATCAGAAAGCTCTCAGATTAAATCAAAAATATCTTAATTTGGGTTCCAAAGATGAATGAAGGTGATACGGGTTTGGAACAACACGAAGGTGAGTAATTGATGACAAACTTTTCATTTTTGGGTGAACTATCCTGATGAAGCGGTTTCTTCCAATGAAATTACTCTAATAAACCGCAGGTGCACCATGACGTCACTTACTGCTATAAAGCTCCTATCATTACATAAAACGATAGAGTTTACTCCACATACATTAGCCCCAACAGTAAAAAGATCCATGCTTTTAATTGTACTGCTTTATTTACCTTTTGACATTGGGCTTTGGCTTCACTGACTGCCTCAGATCTTCCACTACCTTTTGAGAGAGAGAGAGAGAGAGAGAGAGAGAGAGCGGGCGAGACAAAGAAGAATAATTATCTCCTTGTTTTTCTGTATAAACAGCAACCATAATTATACTAAAAGGTGTGCTAATGGATGAAGACAGAAATTACAATATTTTGTAAACTACATTGTTAAAAAAAATACAAGAACCCACCAAAATCTAATTTTATATATTTTTAAAATCTATGTTACACCTGTAAGATAACAAGTGAATACAAAAGAAAGAAAGGAGAAGGAGAGAAGGACCGTACAGTGGGGGACAACAGTGAAAGAGCAGGAGGGAGAGAAAAAGAGACTAAGAGGAGAGTAGGGTGGAAACTGAGGTAGGGAGAGGGCAAATGAAATGGAAAACAGCTTATTAGTCCTTTACCTTTACTAAAATGTCCACATACTTGCCATATCTTCAGAGACGACAAGAAGGCTTCCTTGTGCGTGATGTTCTCAAGGCGCTTGAGTTCGTAAGCAGACAGTCCAGAACATGCATCCTGATGATACAAGGCACTTCTTAATAAACATTTCCAAAATCATATCAATGCAGTAAAATCATTTCAGTTTCATGAGCACTAGGAAATGTCTGTGTCATCACCTTGTTGTTTAGGCGAGGATTGTTGTTTCTGGCGGAGAAGGGGCATGTGGGTGCCAGAACCCAGACAACTTCATCTTCAGGTTCCTCTGGACCAAGCAGATTTAATTCCCTCAGAGTGACAGCTCTACCACCATTTACCTTGCATGATTTTTTTTATTCAAAACAACCCAATGGACTCAATGTTGAAATACTGGTGGTCAATGTGTCCTAATGTCCATTCCATTCTCATGAACAATCCATATTATCTAGATGGAAAAATTACTGGCACACTATTCTGATACATACCACATATTCTTTACCAAGTGGTTCCAGGTCTTCATTGAGGTAGATGCTCAGACAGCTCATCACACAATCTCGCCTCACATTGACATCTTCATTCTGTTAAAAGCCAACAGATTCAAAGACATTTCTCTTCTTGACCACACCAATCACCTTATTTTACACTGAAAAAACTAACAATCTTATAAAGTTTAATTGTAATGGAAACTCATTTTCAGGCTCTTTAAAATAAGATGATTGTTACATCTTTCTATCAAGCAAGTAAACTCCCATTGATTTCAGTTAATTTTAATTGGTGTTTAATTTTATTATTCTATATACAAGGCTTTACAGTATAAAATGCTAAAAGCAAGTTTCGATAACACTGATATTGTTTTATATAAATTTTAATCAATTTCAGCATTATATTGAAAATCTATTTTATATTACATTGACTGAATATTAATTAAAAGTTCATCTAATATGTTATACATGTTAACGTGTAGATCTTTTAACTTATACTTACAAAAATCTATGTTGCCACGTGGAGGTGAGAACACGGTGAGAGGAAAACTAAGAAAATACCACCAGTTACGTTTCTGGAAAAAAAAAGTAAGAATAAAATAAGTGGTGTCATTCAGTTCTGTAATCTAACTAGCCGTAAAACAGCAAACATTAGCTTACATATTACAGTGACAATTCTTGACTTCAAATTCGATTCTCTTTATTTTCACAAACATAAAAACCAACAGCAATGGGTTAATTTGATTAATTGATGCATTTTAAAGTTGTTTGGCTAAGCTTACTGAAGTTATGATTCTAACGGGCATCTGTATTCTCCGGTAAACCAATGTACAATAAAACCGTTTAAAAAAATCACAAACTACATAAAACTTACCATAAATGGATTAATGTTATATACACTTGATGCTAAATAAAAAAATAATTAGAACAGGAGCCATACAACAAAGAATGTTTCGGATTACTTACCAACATGTGTGTGACGGATTCCCACAATATCCCGAGGGCTTGTGTCCAGCAAAAATGATGTCATTTCCTGTTTCCAAATTGATTTTTTTCATAACTTTGATGAAAACCAATCACATAAACTTTAAATAACAGAATCTTGTTTGTTTTATAACTCTTATTATTCAAACAATGTTAGTATTTATTAACTAAATGCATTAAATAAATTGTATAATTGATTAAATCTTTTAGAGTATATTTACTTTTAATGTATAGATTTTAAAAATATTAGTTTTTAAATAAAGTCAAATAGATGTAAATGCATAAAAACTAACTCTGCCATGAATCATTTCTGTGAGTGCACCCTCTGCTACTTTTACAGGTAGAAATAAGATATAAGTTAGAATAGATTTAATTAGACAACTGGTTCATTGAAAATAAATGTGACACATTAGGCTTTGATTAAAATGATAGTTTTCTGGATCAAGGAGCAATATGCAAACAAATATTTTTTTTTTTACTACCAAAGGAATAAAGTATTGCATTATGTTATATACAGTATTATTGTACTATTATTACATTATGCATTTCAACAAAAACATACATTGTATATTACAACATCACACTATTTTTTAGCCCGCTTTTTTTATTTTTTTCCACCAATTTCTGTTTAATGGAGAGAAGATTTGTTCAGCACATTTTTTAAACATCAAAGTTTTAATAACTCATTTCTAATAACTGATTTATTTTATCTTTGCCCTGATGACAGTAAATAATATTTGACTAGATATTCACTTCTATACCACTTAAAGTGACATTTGAAGGTTTAACTAGGTAAATTAGGTTAACTAGGCAGGTTAGGGTAATTAGGCAAGTTATTGTATAACGATGGTTTGTCTTGTAGACTATGCCAAAAAAAAAAAAAGCTTAAAGAGGCTCATAATATTGACCTTGAAAAATGTATTCGAAATAAAACAAATAAGACTTTCTCCCAGTAGAAAAAATATTAGCATACCTGTGGTAGCAAAAAAAAAAAAAAAAATATATATATATATATATATATATATATATTTTTTTTTTTTTTTTAAATAAGTACTTTTTCAAGATAATACCTCAGACTCGTTGTTTAGAAAAAGTACAAATTTTAGCTTACACTTAAAATCGAAACAAAGTATTTACTATTAGTGTTTATTATGTATCATTATCTGAAGACAAGATGTTAAAATGTAGCTTTAAAAACTGTGACCCTGACCATGACCTGACCATGTAATTTAATCCAATCACAGAAACTCAAACCGACCAATCAGCAAGTGTCTGCTACCCCCCACTGTGCAAGAGGTGTGAAAAGAAGCAGGTCTCTAGCAACACCTCAACTTTTTTATTGCTTTTTGTTCTTTTCTCTCCTATGTTTGAACTTTGAACTGAACTTTGAACACCTTGAACTCTTGAAACACTGAAATTGTCATTTCTTTTGATTTAAAAAAAATGTACCATTGACAATTGCGGTGAAATCTTTGATGCCACTGATGGAGTAGACGGGGGCTGGGGCTGGGCCTCAAGTTGTCTCGTCTCCATCACCTCCTGAGCAGGTACAGTAGGGGCAGGTTGTTGCACCGTTTGTGCTGGAGCAGCAGAAGCAGTACTATGCTGAAAATAATCACAAAAATACATATAATCATAAAAAAGGAAAGACATTCTAGTAAATAAAAATAAACATGTATTGATTCAAAAATGTGAAAACCACATGTGCATTTTAGCACACCTCCAAGCAAAGTCCTCTGCCCACGAGATTGCAATGGGCAATTCTCAATCTGAAAAAATCATGAAAAATATAATAAATAATTTTACACAATACAAAAAACTTTTATAACTAAACAAGAATTTTAACTCAATGACTCCCTTAATAAAGCACACAATAGCTCCGTAAATTAATTTACCACTGTTTCTAGAATGTGTTTAATATTTGTCTAATATGTAATTGTACAGTTTGTATCTCCAAAAACGAAAAGAAGAATCAAAGGAACTGGACAAGAACATTTCAGGCCTTAAAACCACATGCTGTATACTGTACACTCATAATCCCTTCCCCCACCTTTTCAGATCTCTCTCATAAATGGTCAAACTTACTAAATTATTCGAAGTAAATCTCAAAATACATGCAATTTAAAACACTTTAATATTTAAAAACAAGTATGACATGTTTTACACAGATACTGTACTGAATGTACTGAAGCCTAACAAGTTAACGTTACTCTGTTAAGCAAATTTCAACAAACGTTATATCATGTAAACGAAATACACACCCTTTGATAAATCTCATGCCACTTTTTTTGTTGAGGAGCTGGCCTGTTGCCCTCATTTGATGGCCAAACTCCTGTGCTGGCAAACTTTTTCAGATGTGAAATCCAGTCAGCGTCTGACATGGCTTTATGAGATTTTTCAGACATTTTTCTCCTATAAATTAAACGGTTTTGAATTAAAGTATCCAAATTTGAAATACAACACACTAAAACATTCATTCGTGCAATTGTGTAGTTTTTCCTACCTTTTTTAAGAAATCACTATCGGAAAAAATCCTTTACTGTAAGCAAAACGATGCTGTGCTCTGTCGATCGATGCTGTTCGTTGAATATCACTGATGGTCAATGAACTTTTTTGACCTCTGACCCGCCTCCAGAGGACCGCGTCATTTCTTCGTGCACCTTCGGCTCAGTTCAGAAAATTGATTGACATCTGACTAACCTGTTTGACTGCACACCTAGCGGTGATTCTTGGAACAGTTCCTACCCCCCGGCTTCAACATTGTCTCGACTCTGATTGGTCAAATGTTGAAAATGTTGAGAATTCCGGTCCACGATTGGATGCAAATGTTGAAGCGCTGCAACGTGATTGGCTACAATGTTGGAGCGTATCGCTCCGATTGGCTCTCATCTTCAACATTTGTGAAATATTGTCGGACTATCCTTCGGCAGCTGGCGTTCAGGTCGCAGTCTCCCCTGGAGGCGTGGGTTCGAATCCCACTTCTGACAAACCGAGCCTGCGGCGATGCGCTCAGGCTGAAGTCTTTAACTCCCTGCCACCATGTCCGAATGATACAGTAACACTGACAAAACGCCGCATCACGCGGGCTTTAATGCAAGTGCACCGAAAGGGGATCAAAAGAATTGTCCTGGGATGGCGTTGATTTTTAAGGTTTGCAGGGCATTTTTTCATCAAATCCTCGTACAACGTCAAGTCATGGCATTTGACAGATCCACGACCTTGTATCGTGCATCCAGGCCAGTGGTGCTTCAAGTATTTATAGTCTTTTTTTATAGAGCTGTCTTGTACGGTCCGCATCGTGGAGGGCCAGGAAACGCACTGGCCACCTGCTCATGCACAACACATAGCTAAAAGAAATCAGATTCTACGCAAGTTTGCAACACCGCGAGGGGAGGTAAACACTGAGTTGAATTCAAACTTCTAGCCTCACAACGCTCTGCAGAAAGAATGTTTTCAGTGAACATCAGTACTCAACAGAAGCCTGATTTGACAATCGTCGTAAAAGCCAGAGGTTGTTTCCACCCAGTTTCGAACTGGGGACCTTTCGCGTGTAAGGCGAACGTGATAACCACTACACTATGGAAACCTTAAGAAGTACAACTAGCAGATAACCCTTTTTGATTGGGTGCCTGGTGACGATCATTGCTGGTGCAGCAGTGGATGCTATTATTTTCTCGCCAAACGAAGAGCACTGTTTCTGCTCGGTTTCGAACCGAGGACCTTTCGCGTGTTAGGCGAACGTGATGACCACTACACTACAGAAACCCCACAAGTGCTTTCCCCAGCGAGGTTAGGCATGCAAGGATAAAACAAGGTGTACGCGTTTGTCAATCAAGCGGACAAAGCCAACTCAGCGTGACAAGCTCCCTGCAGGTATTAGGGCCAATTTACAATCCGGGCCCAACACAGCTGTACAGGTCCTAGCGAAATGTCCCCTTTCGTCCCAGTTGAAGCACCTGAATTCTGGGCATTCCTTCATCACATGGTCTGAGCTCATGCGTAGTCGACAGGTTTTTACCTGATTGGTGTGCATGACTCTAAAGTGCTGTGCCCCTTCAGCCGTCTCGATTTTGGTACTGTATGGTAGGGAGACCGTCTCTTCTGGAAATCTGTTTTTTACAAACCTTGTTCCATCTTCTATGTTTGTGCCTGGATACAGTCTTCTTTTAGTTTTAGACATGGGGAAAACTCCCCATCCCTCTAGCTTACTTAAAATTTCTTCATCAGCTAGGTAAACAGGCAGATGCTTGAACGAAACAACATAGTCTCTGTTTTGTAACCTCCGTACTTCAGATTTCACTCCTTTAATTGTCAATCCATTGTCTATTAAAATTTCGGTGTCATCTTCAGTCTCCATTGTTACTTCATACTCCCTTGTTTGTTTGGGTCTCACCGCCAGAATTCTTCCTTCTCCAATCAGCTCCGTGACTGCTTTGATTATATCAAACCTTCTTGCATCTTTTACATTTTCTACTTCTACAGTTACTGTTGCTTCCTTTGTGCACACTCTTCTTTGTATCTCTTGCTTATCCTTACCTTTTTCACCTCTTCGTTGGCCGGGCTCTTCATTTTATTTATCTCTTTGTCTGCTGTCAAGTCCATTTTTTTAATCTCTTCGTCAATTATCCAGCCCATTTTCTTTATCCTTTCGTGCAAGTCCCTCCATTCCCATGTCGTTGCCGGGTAATCTGTCCATGATTAAAAATAAAAATCACAACATAACCACCCTTCAGTCAGCAAAATGCTGCTGTTGGGTGGTTTTTAAAGACAAAAATAAAACAAACAAACAAACCACTCAAGGTCAATAAACAAAAAGGTAGACAAGCAAAATGGGGAGAGCCTTTCTCTCCTCACTGCTGCCAACTCACTTCCTGTTTGCTCTATAGCGCCCTCAGGGTGGTGTGGTCGTAAGCAATGACAGCTGTCAAGTGTTGGCTATTGAAACTAGGCGCAGCCCCAGGAGCCGAGCACAGCTTAGCTGTCTGCTGCGCCAATGAGGTGGACAGCCGGAGCTGGGCAAGCTGTGAAACACCAGATTCCATGTCACGGTACTGCGGTGTGGCTCCCAGGAGACAGCTCCTGCCATACTTGCATGTCAGGATGGCCGAGCGGTCAAAGGTGCTGCGTTCAGGTCGCAGTCTCCCCTGGAGGCGTGGGTTCGAATCCCACTTCTGTCCGAATGATACTGTAACACTGACAAAGCGCCGCATCACGCGTGCTTTAATACAAGTGCACCGAAAGGGGATCAAAAGAATTGTCGTGGGATGGTGTTGATTTTTAAGGTTTGCAGGGCATTTTTTCGTCAAATCCTCGTACAACGTCAAGTCATGACATTTGACAGATCCACGACCTTGTATCGTGCATCATCCAGTGAGCAG